CCGTCTCCTAATGTTAGCGATGACTTACGGGATAATTTCATGCTAGACTCAAAACCTCCGTCTAATGTTGCGCGATGTTTCGCAAAAAAAAATCTTCCTGACACAGACACATGCGCGGCCCCGATAACGCAAGTCCTCCCATCCTTTTGACCAGAGTCTGACCGAGGCCACCCGTTTCCACTCATCCGGGCCAGCCCTCTGACCTCTGACCCAGGTCAACCCCTCACACCGATCTCCTACCCAGCTGGTCACTTGGTTCACTGACCTCTGATTCATACTATCCCCTCTCCACTCATATCCGAACTACCGCACCCTCTCCACTGACCAGACCTTTAATTCAGGCCCCACCCCATCCACTGACCTCTGGCCGATGTGAGGCCCGTCCTCCTGCCGGCCGGACTGGGCGGTCGCCACTGGCCTCCCCCACCGCCGTCCAGCCGGATCCCAGCCACCCGGCGCAGAGAGGAGTACATCGAGGTCAGTTTGTGTTCCATATCGCTCCGTACCGACTCCAGACGGGAGACCTGACCCTCCAGAGCCTCCACTCGGCCCTCGGAGGAGAGCAGCTTCAGCTGGGGACGGAGAGAGGCAGTGTCAAATGGGGACAAACAACATTTGTTAGCTGGAGAGCAGGACGTGGAAAACGGTTATCGAGCATCAGATAAGGGTATATGGAAATGGTGATGAAGGGCAGCATCAACTTCTCCACTCATCTCCCCTCGATCATGTACCAACCGACTCCTGTCCCCGCCTGCAGCCTCTCCTTTTCGTTCACCGCGCCCTACCTTGAGGTCGGCGGCCTCCTGGCTCGCTGCGCTCAGCCGGATCTCCAGGTTCTTTTTGTCGTCCTCCAGCCGGTGGGTGGCGGCGCGCGTCTCCTCCAGGGCGCCGCTGAGGTCGCGCTCCCGCCACCGCCAGCGGTCCTGGTGCTCCGTCAGCCGCCGCTCGCAGTCCGCCAGCTCCCGCTGCAGGCCGTCCCGCGCCGACTCCGTCTCACGCAGCTGCGGGAAAGATAAAGAGGTAGAGAGATGGTTAAAGCAGGGCGCACTACGGTCGAGCTTGAGAGGATGGGTGCTTAATCCTTCATTATTTTTCGTGTACGTTGGCTTGAAGACGTTTCATAGAAATTCCGTTTGATGAAAATAATCATGCGTAAACCGGCGTTGATGTCATAGTTGTGTTCTATATCACATCGCTTTTTTCCTTTCTCCTTGCAATCGCGTCAGACTCAACTGAATCTTATATTGATCGTAATCCAGCCCGCCAAATCCCCTCACCTGATTTTTGGCGGTGTTGAGCTCGGTCTTCTGCGCCTCGCTGACGTCCTGCTGTCGCGCCAGCCGCTGCTGCAGCTCGGCCAGCTCCGTCTGACGGTCCTGCAGCTGCAGCTCCAGCTGCTTGCCCTGGCGGCGCAGCTCCTGCAGCTCCCGGCCCGCCTCCTGCCGCGTCCGCTCCAGGTCCCGCACCTGGATCCGCAGCTCCTGAGACTCCTGCGCGGACGACTCCTTGGCGGCGTCCAGGACTGGAGGCGGATAGCGTGTTGTCACATACCTAGTCAAATGGCTCATATTTAACAGAAAGGATACTCAGTTCAAGTCTCTCATTAAGCATCAGGCGATGTTTCCACTCACTGGCGATTTTCTGTCCGGCCTCGTCGAGTGACCGTTTCAGCTCTCCCTTGTCGGCCTCGAGGCGTTTGATTTTGTCGCGCAGGTCGGCGTTGCTGCTCTGTAGGGTGGTCACCTCATGTTCGGCCTCCTGGAGCGCGCGCTTCGTGTCCGAGAGCGACCGGGAGCACTCGTCATGGCGCGACTCGGCTGCGGGAGACGGCGGAGGAATGTGAAAGAGATTTCACTGAAAAAAAAAAAAATGATCCGAGCATCAGCTGGACATGGAAGGAAAACGTGTGAATTTCTATAGCTGTTGTTTCTAACTGTTAGAACCTGCACTGCTTGATGCTTTTATCAAAAACACTTTCCTCTGCTCGAGCAGCTTTTCTTAATCTAGACTGCATCAACAACAACGATCTTCAACCCCAGTCCCTTTCGCTCATACTCAGACTTCTCTCTGTGGCTCATACCATCCTTGAGTTTCCGGTTGAGTTCGCTGAGCTCCTTCTCGAGCCGGTCGCGGTGCTCCTCGGTGACCTTGAGTTTGACCTTGAGCTGACCGAGGGTCGAGTCGGTGACGTCGCGGAGCCGCTGGGCGTCCAGCACCTGGTTCGACAGCGACGTCACCTCCTTCTCGTGCGCGATCCTGGCGAGGAAGAAACGAAAATGGACATAACTGTCATAGACAGCGTAGATCAAACGGTTGCGATGCAAATTGACTTTGAAGTAACGATTCAGACAGTCGATTGGTATGCCTGGATTGTTTATAGTCTTTTCTTTATGCGGGATATTGTTTCACAGAGGGAGCTGGAATCAGGTTCCCGGGGTAACTGGAGGCTTTTATGCGTCACAGCATGTGTTCGAAAGTATTGAACGTAAAATACCGAATGCGACAATAAGATAAGATGGAATGAGAGACAGGGAGAAAAGCATTCAGTTCCAAAACAAGCATCTCGGGCGTAAACTCCGTTCCGTCGTTTTCATCCTCAGGATACTGAAATCCTTCTCTTCCACGCCGCAACCCCCACTCCGGGCTGGACAGGCACCTATATCTCGTGCGGGCTGCTCCCTTGGAGTCGCACCGTTGCTCCCAATGGAGCGCACCCCGTAGCCGGTTGCAGAGTGTTGGGGGGGGGGGGGGGGCTAGTCGGCCTGTCCATTCGGACGGGCTCAGCCCCGGTGACTTTCTAGAGCGTCTGCCCTGACCAATGTCTCCCCTAATTCCTATCAGCCTTACGGCTCTGAAATGGTCTTGTCAGACCGAAAGGGCCTAACCCCCCCCAAAAAAAAAAACAAATATCGGCCGTTAGTGTCGCCATTCATCGGTCCTCTCCGGGTATGAAGCACTCACTCCTTGTCCTCGATCTGCGAGCGCAGTCGGGCCACCTCCGAGTGCAGCGCACCCAGGTTGGAGCGGGACATCTCCCCGTGCGAGGAGGCCTCGCTCTTCAGCCGGTCCAGCTCGGTCCGACACTGGTCCAGCTCGCGCTGGGACTGCTGCAGACGGTCCAGCACCGCCTGCTGCTCCTGCTGGGCTGAGGAGAGGGCAGGGAAATAGATCATACCGACTGCCATTTATAAATTGAGCGAGGGAACTGTAATTGTATTTGTCAGTAACTCAGTGCACAATATTCATCTTGGCACTACAAACACACATGACCATTACCTGAGCAGACGTGCTCTCCTGGGCTCTTGCTGCCGCTTGCGGAATTCTTCCATCACCCAATCGTTACCTAACACTCGTTCCATCTCCGCTCATCGCCTATTGCCTCATGTATCGCCCGTCCAATCTCCGCCCGCTATCTATGTATCGCCCGTCCGATTCTCCGCTGGTTACCTAGTGTGAGCGCCTGCTGTTTGGCCTCCTCGGCGGCCAGCAGCTGCTGCTCTCCGGACCGGGTCTGCTTCTCCAGCTCCCGGTGCAGCGTCTGCAGCTGCTGCTCCTTCTGCGCCAGCAGGCCGTCCTGCTCCAGCGTCCAGCTCTGTACCGACTTCTGCAGACGCGTCTCCAGCTGGCGCACCGCCTCGTCCTGACGACAGTGACGCGGCGAATGACAGTTGTGGGAGGGGTGTGAGTAATGTGTATGACTATATGATATGGCTTCGGTATCATCAGCTATAAATACCAAGCTACTACCACATATTCACTCCTAGAGAGCATGCCACAGAAAGTTGGTATACCTTACCGACACTTCTGAGACAGGCCTGCCGTCCAAATCGTTTGCTATCCCCAAGCACTATCCAGATCGAAGTGTGTCCCTTCCTCCCGCTGTATCCGTAACTGCCGTTCAGTAACCAGGCCCGCACCTTTTCCCTGGCCAGCCGGGCCACCTCCTCGTCATGACCCTGCCGCAGGTCGGAGAGCACGCGCGCCTGCTCCGTCTTTGTCTCCTCCAGGCGCCGCTTGAAGTCGGCCACCGACTCACGCAGCCGCTCTGGAAACAAAGTGAGGAGTGTTACGAAAAACAAATCAGGCATATGAGTCCACAGCTGATCAAGACTTACCTGCGCATCCGGAGCGATGCCGTTGCGGCTCTGCAGAAGGCCAGCGAGACCTAATTGGCCGGCCTCTCCGAGGACACCAACCTGTGCGCTGTCCACGCCAAGCGTGTTACCGTCACGCCAAAAACTCAGATGGCGTATCGCTGATCAGATGGCGCCATCAGTACCGCCACTCAGATGGCGTAGGTATCGCTAATCACAGGAGGCCTAACCCAGAAGGACAGCACGGCCGAAATCGCCCCTGGCGGCAGGCCAGAAACACAAAGAAGAAGAAGAACTGGACATGGCGACAAGTCATGCTGCAGGATAGCATCGTGGAGCACTGGGCAGTAAATAAATTACGCACCGAGGGAACCTAGTCGGTGCTAGTATTCTTTTATTTATTTGTTGCACTGGTTGTTGTCTACTGGTCCGGTTACTATCTCGATAAAAAGGCATTGAAAATGGCGTCTTGTCATGTCTCGCCCATGAATGCAGGACGACCCGACCCCCGGCGTTTCAGACTCGTGTCCCTGTACTCCACTTCCCCAGGCTCGCCGGGCATAGCCATCTCACCTCCCTCCTGGTCCATGTCCTTGCGCGTCAGGTTCAGCTTGTTCTGCAGCTCCTCCCTCCGCACGGTCAACTGCCGGTTGTCCTTCTGCAGCTGCCGTTTGGCCGTCTCGGCTGCCTCCAGCGCCGTCCGACTCTCAAACAGCTGCATCTGGGGACGGCGGTCGAAACAAGCGAGCGGAGAGTTAAAATGCATTATACAATTATTAGCGTTAGGTAAGTGTTGGAACTAAGTAGAAATATCGGAAAATTATTCAAGGCTTTGGAAACAGTAGAGCCAACTGAATATTGTAAACCATATCCTGCGTCACACACGTACAGATCAAAGGTTAAAAGGCCCCGTAATGCCGTCCAAACATTGCCTTAGCCGTCGGTATTTCACGTCGTCCAGGCGGGGTATTGGGTAAAGTTTTCAACTAGCAATAACAGCACCTCGGATAAACCTCATTGGTTACTGTATCGCCACTGCGCAAAGATAACCAGATAACCAAAAATGGCCTGACTAGTATGTTGGAACTGGTGAAAACCATGTTAGTTTCATCGCAATATTCACTCTCTCACCCCATAAGTAAAATCCACACAACTACATTTTGTTTTGACTACATAACTTGACACATAACCCCCACTATAACGTTATCGGCATGGGGAGACTTCAACGCTACTGCACGGTAACTCGTAATAAGCTTTGCAATCTGACACCAATGTGATGCACGCCACCTAGCAGATGCAGAATGAACTAGAAATGTGCACCAATGAAAGCCATGACGTCACCATTACCATTGGTCGTAAACCTAGCGTGATGGTTGGAGAACAAGGCCGACCGTAACGGTAACTACCACCACTGAAGGCGGTGATCCTAATTGTTGCGAAAGTGTAGGTGGAAGATTTAGGCGCCAACACAGAACAATGGGAACATGCAACCTCAAGCAAGACACAGAACACACTGGGGACGACGAACGAGAGTTATAGAGTATAGACCAAGTATAGACCAGCAAATTTCTAGAGGCGATGAGGAACACATATTTGGCATGAGGGTGGGAACACTCTGCTGACCTCAGTGTGCTGTTTCTCGTCTGCTTACCTCAGCGTGTTGTTTCTCTGCTCGGAGGGCGGCCAGCACCTCGCGGAGACTGGCGTGCTCCTTCTGTAGCGCTGTGTGTCGCGCCTGGAACGGGAGCGGTCGGACTAGTGAATTGGTCACACTTCACAGTCACCGACTAATTGATCTAATGGTCACGGTAACGGTAACGGTAGCTCGCACCAATTTGATCATTAACCATAACCAATAACAATGGGTCTGTTTCAGTGGTTGCTCCAACCTCCTCTAAGCTCCTCTAACCTCCTCTCGTTTCAATAAATAATCCCAGTTGCACTTACCAGGTAAGGTAAGAGCAACTGGAATTATTTATTGAAATGAGAGGTTAGAGGAGCTTAGAGGAGGTTGGAGCAACCACTGAAACAGACCCAATGTAACCATCAACAAGCGTGATTCTTTTCCAGTATGTACTCTACACTCACCCTCTCCCTCCTCCCTGACTGACCTGCAGGTCTCCGGACGCTTTGGCCAGCGTCTCCCTCTCCGAGGCCGTCCGGTTCATCTCCGCCTTGGCGCGCTCGTAGTCCAGTCGCGTGCGGGACAGCTCCTCCTGGAGGGCGGCCCGCTGCCGCTCAGAGGTGGCCAGTCGCGACTCGAGCTCGGCCTGGTCAGCGACCAGTTCAGATACCTGGTCCTCCAGCTGAGGGATGGAGAAGGGGATAACAGTGTCAGAACTCAGAAACCTGAGGAAGGTGAAACGAACAAGATAGAGCTGAGAGTGTAAGTAGACTGGGTGGTATTTCAGACTATAGTAAATCGGAGACGAGCGCCGAGGGACTATTTGGTGGCTCTTCCGTCTCTCTCCCCATTCTCTGTCGCGGTCCCGTCCCTTCACCTCCCCTTCTATCTCTATGGATCGGAGTGTCTGCCGTCTCCCTCTGGGTTGTCTGTCCCGCCCTTTTCTCACCTTCTCCCTCTCCCTCTCGGTCTCAGTGAGCGTCTCCTGCAGCCCGAGCCTCTCGGTGGCCGACAGCTGACCCTCCTGCTCGAGCCGCAGCAGCTCGTCTTTGAGGGCGGTCAGTTCAGCCTCCAGCTCCGCCCGCTCCGACTGCAACACCGCCCGCTCGGCCGCCAGCTGAGGGTGGCAGAGGAGGGTGGATGATCACTATCAGACAATTAGAGTCGAAATTAAGAGAGGAATGATTGAAATGCATCACGGCGGAAGTTCTAAGCCATGACAAGTGTGTTAATGAGTTGATGGGTCGTTATCTTTCGCCATAGAATGCAATGGTGTAATTGTACGCATCGTATACCGAACTTCTGCCAGATGTCATTTTACATAATTGAACACTGACGGCAGGGCTCCAGACACTGGGTTGAAGACTAAACGGACCATATCAGCGCGCTCGGTCCCACAGCGAGCACTGCAGCTTTTTCGCCGGCCTCTCTCACTAACCTGTTGAACCATTTGGTTCAGGTCCATCTTGTCCACGCCGAGGCCCTCGTTGAGGTTCTGTATTTTCAGCAGGGCGTCCCGCAGCGCTGCCTCGTCAGTCTTCAGCCGGGCCACCTGAGTCTCCAGCTCGCCTGGGTGGCGGTGAAATGTCGCAGTGAGTCACAGCTCGGATAGCTAGCACTACCATGTGCCACGAGGAGGGGCGATTAAGACGATGGCTGGGGTTCAAGGTTGTAACAAACATGATCTGATAGTGAAATCAAACATTATCTTCAGTATCTGCAATAATTGTTCCATTTACGCAGGAATAAAAACAGACTTCCCTATTACATCCAAAGCCGCTTTGCATCCAAAATAAAAAGGGTGGATAGGCTGAGTCCTTTGCCACTGTTTACCAGTTCCTTCACTTATTCTGTCATTTCAGCCCACTCGTCGCCTCTCACCTTTCTCCAGCTCCGTCTTCCTGCGCGCGTCGTCCAGCTCTGCGTTACTCTGTGCCAGCACCTCCAGCTCGAGCCGAGCCGAGTGGAGCTCCTCCTTCAGGGAGACGACCGACTGGCGCAGCTGGCCAGCGCGGGTGTCCCGATCAGACAGCTGGCCCTGGCTGTCCGCGCACAGGGCAGGTTAGAGGTCAGATCAAAGGGTCAGAGGGTCAAGCTGCAAGCATCAATTAGCAGAGGCGTTTCGCGTCGGATGTCATGGACGCATAATGATCCTACTGTTGACGCATCTCGTGAACACTGAACACCAAGTCACACGCTCATACAAATCCCAACGAAGAGTCGTCTGACGGGGAATCATAAGGTCACGTGCCACAGGTCGCCACCAGCCGATCTAAACACGCCGAGTCTCACCATTCGTCCAGCTGGGCCTTGAGCCGCTCCATCTCGGCGCTGAGGTGGAGCTTATCGCCCTCCAGCGCGTCCTTCTGCTTCTGCAGCTCGGTGAAGCTGGCCTGCAGCGTGTCCGCCTCCCCGTTCAGAGCCTCCACCTGCCGGGACATAACCGGCGTCAGCTTCGGCACGACGAGTGAGATTCGACGCGGCTGATTATGGTGAGCGCTTCTAAGGTGTGTGTTCACTGTTTATACAGGAGGTACAGTTACCGCTGGTCCCTTAACTGTGTGTTTAGGGCTGCTGTCCTTGCCCGGCCCATCTCTCCCTCAACTGTGCGTTGCCTACGATCCTAACCCACACCCCTAACCAGTGCGTTTTGTCCTGCCCTGTCTGTACCAATCACCTGAGCGTTCAGCGCAGTCCTGGCCCGCTCCAGCTGCTCCCTCTCGGCAGTAGCCGTTTCCAGCTGCAGCCGGCGCCGCTCCAGCTCGCGGCGCGCCGCCTCCCGCTGCTGCTCCGTCTCCTGCAGCTGGTCGCGCGCCTCCTGCAGCTGCCGCTCCAGCTGCTGCAGCTGCTCGTCGGACGACTCGCAGCGCCGCCGCAGCTGCGACAGCTGCTCGCCGCTGGCCGTTAGCTTCACCTGCGGCGACGGGAGCGGTTACAGACGGACTCAGACGCATGGGTGTAGTTTTCCAAAAATCATTGGGGGTGCTCAATAGCCTTCAGAAAGGCATGCCATAGTTTTAGTAGTTTTTTTAGCTGTTCTTTTTTACTGTAGCCATCAGGCATCATGCAAGAAATGATGTTAAATCGGTTCGAGAGCTTGTTTTAATAGCGCCACTGTAAAACAATTTTGGCTCACCCAATGCATTAACCCGCGCGGGGCTGGGGTCTCCAGCCGAACGCGCGGGGCTGGGGGGATAAATTTTACCCCCCTGTTATCTCCCGAACTAATGGTCCGATTTGGAAAATTCAAACGCCAATCGAAAGATCTCATCACGAATAACTAAAAACATGTACTTAATTTAAAGTTGGAGGTCAAGGTCAAGGTCAGGTCAAGGGTACAAATTGCAAGTTTCTACAGTATCGGCCCTGCACCGTAGTTGCCGAAGAATGGAGTCATGGACTGAGACTGATTGCCCAAAACGTGTTTGGGCCTGACCTTGGCCATAAGTTTGGCGGGCCAGATTTTGTACTGGAGCATTTTTTTTTTAATTCAGGCCTCCCTCCAACGGGCACTTGTATCCCATTTACAGGAGGGTTCCTCCTCGGACCTCCTGGCCCTTGTTCCCCCACCCCCCAGGCTACGGCTGAAGTGGGAGCCTACCCCACACCTGGTGACACAGCCGGGGACGACGCCCGCGGAACGGGCGGAACCGGGAATCGAACCCGAACCCGGCACCGCCCGCACCGCGGGTCGACGCCTTAACCGACTGCGCCACCAGGGCCGCTTTTGAGCCAACTTTGAGAAATACATAACGTACAACGGTGGTAAAATCGTTGCTATAGGTATAACACAGTTTACCCGCTCCGGGTGTGAGGGAGGGGTGTGGGGCAATGAGTGCACTGACGTGGCGCCCTCGGAGGGCCGGTATGGGATTAAAGCTCAGCTACACTAAGGGCTTGTTTGGTGCCTTCAGTTATCGGTGGCACCCTCAGAATCACCGGCGTAGGGCCCTCAGAGCCGCCGGTAAGGGAGGCACCGGTGTGGGGCCGCCATGCAGGTGCCGGTGTGGGCGATCAGAGGTGCTAGTGTGATTCTCTCAGAGGCTCCGATGAGGGTCCTTACAGGCGTTGCTCCGGGCCCTCATAGACGCTGGTGTAGAGCCGTTACAGACGGGTGTGGGGCCTTTAGAGCTGCTGACGCGAACTCTCTACAAGCCGGTAGGGGGTCTCAGTGACCGGCAAGGGGTCCTTAGGGCTTAGGCCGGCAGAAGAAGTCTTGCGGGGTCCTAAGAGACCGGCATGGTACTGTCAGACGCCGGTGGGGCCCTCAGGGTCACCGTTGTGGGGCCCTCAAAAGTCACCAGTGGATGGCCTTTAGATGCGCAGGTGTTGGGTGGGTCCTCAGAGCCGCGGATATAGGGCTTTAATAGGCACTGGTGTAGGCACTCAGAGTTGGGGGTGTGAAACCCTTAGAGACACCGGT